GGAATTTTATTTTAGATTTTGTTTTCGAATTGCAGTGATTCTATTTTTGACATAGAATTTAATGCCACTCCATGTCCGATGTCTAAGGTCATCTGGTGAGGCATTAATGCAGGCCAGGCAGTGAGACTTCCCAGGGACCTTTCCAGTCTGTATGAAAGGTGTCATGGTCTTCCACACAGCCTTCACCTCAGATGCAGACCATGGCTTTCTTACACGTTCTAGGGAGAGAAATAAAAATATATTAGCAATATACACTCCCAGGGTTAGGACCAAGCAGCCTGGCTGTAATCCCCCACCTGGTACACTTACCAGAAGGGGCACTGCCACTACCATGGGGTGCATCTGGATGAATGGTTGAAGGTTCTCCGCTTGAAGTTTCTTTTAGCCCGTCCGTTTGTGAGAGGATCTCTACTGCTCTCCCTGTCGCACAGAAAATAAAAATACAAGTGGCCTTTAGGGAAAAAAAATCATACATATTTTAATAATATCAAGAATTACCTTCAGGCTCAATTTGTATCTGGTCGAGGCTCTTTCCTTCGAATTCCGTCACTCTTCCCTGCTCCATGGCCATCAACACTTTGCTGATTTTGGCCAGCTCCAGTGTCCCCTCTGGTAGTCTGTAATATTGCCTGTGGATGCGAATGTCATGGCCGAGGAAGTTGGCAAGTATGTCCATCTCATTCTCTTTCATATTGAGAACTGTAGACATAGTAGCTATGTGCTTTCTAAGTTTGGTTGAGGATAGCATCTCTGGATGCACCGCACCACATTCTTTGGCTACCTGGCGTAGGGAGTCTGATCCCCTGATGTGGGTGTCTGCGCCCGGGCGGGAAAAGAAGTATGGGTTATGGTCAGAGATGGAACAGGCCCTTCTGTTCTCCACCAGCACCTCCATCGAAGCAATCAATTTCAGGAGTCAAAAGAACCGGCACTTTCCGACTTCTTTTCCCTTTAATTTCAATGCGTTGAAAATGCTGACACAGCTTTTTCTCAAGTTGGGACAGTCCCAGAGCAATGTCAGAATGGATCCCAGTCTTACTTCTTAAGGTAAAGGCTGTCAGTGGCATCTTTGAAACCTCACCTTCCCTTCTTCGATTGAAAATGATGACCTCACAAAGAGTCAAAACTGCCAGTTTAGACCAATGCTTAGACGTTGGCTCACTTATTAGGGTTTGCACATATTCAGGTCGACATACCTCAATATGTGCATGCATGGCTCTAACGTCCTCAGTCAGAGGGAGCAGGTCCGGAGTGTTCCACTTGGCTTGCCGGAGGGTCTGTAGGGCAGCAGAAGAAACACAGACGTCCCACCTCTTCTCAAAAAGCAGCCGGCTTCGTTGGAGGTTTTTAATAAATAGTTCATCAACACAATGCTCCATTTTTGAGTCACATTCAAGAATATCTGCTAGCTTTCTGAGGCTATGGCCGAGTTTGAGGGCCAAGGATGGAGTCTTGTATTGATTTGTTTCCTCATCATATCCAGCCACAGACCTGACTGCATCAATCACATGGTTAAAGTTGGAAGGAATAAAGAAATCCTTAATTGTTTTCAGTTTCCCTGCGGTTTTTGCTTCGTTAATTAACCTACCGACTTCTCTCATTTTCTGCCTAATGTAATCATGCTTAGTCTTATCATGCCCGTGTTTTAAGTACAGGTGCTCTCCGAGTCTCAGAATCCCCTTTTCTGCTTTGACAACACCCGTGACCTCATCCTGATGCATTGCCGAAATTAAAGACCACAGCTTTTTGCTGATGCCCTCCGGTACAGGCTGGGCTAGGGAGCAGAGGGACTGGACCCTACTTCTACCTGGTTTAGCCTGGGCATCTTTCTGTGAAAGCCGGCACCTGGCCACATGCCTCCACAGCGACTTTCGCTTAAGCAATGCCCCACAGTCTATACAGTGCAAAAACTCACTGGATTTAACTGGGGAATTTGGCTGTTTAGCTGGGACTAAAGTTCCAATGCCGGCCTTTAAAACCTCAAAATTGTGCTCACGGTTTCCACTATTCCTGATCAAATCAAACTGAAGTTTACGTGCTTTAGATTTCACAGGTAGAGCCAATGCTCTGGCTACGTCACTTTCATTTCCATGTTTTCTAGTCAAATGACATTTTGTGGCAGGACATTGAACAGTAGAGGCAGAAGTGTCTCTTGCTGTATACTCGCCCCCCATTTTTCTTCTTTTGCAGCTGCATGATAACAATCTTATTTGCCTTTGGTTCGTCACTTTCCGAGTCTTGAAGAAAAGTGTTTTTGATTTTTCTTTTTCCATACTTTTTTACAGGTTTCTTCTTGACAGTTAAATCGTCAGAATCTGAGTCGACTTCATCAATTAGGGACTCTTGACTAAGCTGCACAAACAACAAATAATTTGTAATCATTCTATATAACAATTTGAAGTCATGACTTGTAGTCAGCACTTACCAGTGGTTTGTAAGCGTGCGCTTCAGTGTGCTCCTCCATGATTTCTTGCAGCCTAATGAACCACACACTTGCACCTTTTTCTAGCCTGACACCTGATTTCCTCTGTTGTGCTGCTCCATGATTGGCTCCAGCCTGCTGGACTGAAATTGCCCCAGTGTGCCCCTCCTTGATATCCCGCAACCCACCACCAGGGTTCCGACACATAACACACTTTTTTCAGGAAAGTAAACCTCCAGGGGTCCTTTCCATATTTTTACAGAGACTGCATAAGGACCGTTAGAAAAGCATTACCCATTGATTATTAAGCTTGGACCAGTGGGGTCCGGTGTTCGGGCCCCACCACGTAAAACCAGTCCCCATGACGTGAGTGGAATCTCAGGTTATGGAACCCACCAGGAGTTGAAAACAAGTGCACACACACTACACACATGTTATTTTAGCACATCACCTGTGAATTTGAAAAGAAGAACTCATCAAATGAATATAGTATATACAATCTTGTCATTCGGTAGGTTACATTACTATCCATTCATTAGATATCCCATATCAACATTTTAGATCCATGTTATCAACGATCACCGGCAGTAAAATGATGTATGCGCAACAAGCTGACCATCCCGATACAACACCGCAAACAGTTTTTAAAGCTCATCTTTGAATCTGTGGACATTTATACAAGTAGAAACTATGGCAATAGAATTATTGTTTTTGAAGTTGGGATAGTATTAAAAAATTCGCCAATGATTATTATTTCTAAATTAACATAAACCTATAAGTACATATAAATGAATTTATATGTAGGTGTTCTATTTGTTGAATAGTTTTCTTGACAACTTTTTCAAAGCTTTAGAATCGAGTATAATAATTGACTCATATTCACCTTACCATCAATGCTGCAAGTTAATAGTAATTATTGAAAATTATTTTTTTGGCCTTGTATTTGACTGTGCAGTGAATTAAAACAATGTCCAACAACTCGTTCTGCCACCAACCCAACACACCCAACCCAAAAAACCCACAGGCAACCGTTAATACATTTCAGGTTCCATACCCATGTAAGCAACCAGGCTGAATGCAGGTTTAAGTAGCTGAAAAAGCACCATTCGAGGAGCTGTCTCGGATGGTGCTTTTTCAGTCAAATAGGGGCAGATAGCTGCTTGCAGCTACATGTACAGCAGACATTCATCAGTCTGCCCCGGGGCAGGTTAAGTAGTAGTAATTAACATCACTGTGGACAAAGTGAAAAAAGTGATGCATTATTATACCAGATTACTAAAATATTCAGTAGTCAATGGGGAGGACACTTTGGTTCAGAAAGACAGTACAAACATTTAAAGCTCAGGAAGAGGTGCATTCGAAAACAGCGGAGAACACGTACCTGAAGTAGAAGAAGATGGCCAGAGATATGAGCAGCGAGGCGATGGACAGGGCGTGGCCTACGATTGCCATGTAGAACAAGATATAAGCCGACTGGAATACACAACAATGCACAATGTGAGAACAGGAGAGGGGCGGACCAAGTCCACACAACATGTTTAGATTGCATGTACAATGTTTAAGTTGTAAACTGAATCTCACAAGGTTATTATTCTAGTGTGTAACAGCGTATACTAGGGATGGGTGTCTTCACCTCAAAGGCCGATTCGATAAGCATCTTGATACTTTTTCACCGCACTGAGGCGCCCTGCAGAAACGATGCAATACAAATCCCCCCTCTCAGCGATTCCAATTCGATGCAATGCAATTCACCCTTATTCTCAATACATCCATCCATCCATACATTTTCTTCCGCTTTATCCGTTGCCGGGTCGCGGGGGCAGCAGTCTAAGCAGAGACACCCAGACTTCCCTATCCACACACACTTCCTCCAGTTCGTCTGGGGAGACCCCAAGGCGTTCCCAGGCCAGCTGAGAGACATAGTCCCTCCAGCGTGTCCTAGGTCTTCCCTGGGGCCTCCTCCCGGTGGGACGTGCCCAGAACTCCAGGAGGCATCCGGAACAGATGCCCGAGCCACCTCAACTGGTTCCTCTCGACATAGAAAAGCAGCGGCTCTACTCCGAGCTCCTCCCGTGTGACTGAGCTCCTCACCCTATCTCTAAGGGAGCGCCCAGCCACTCTGCGGAGGAAGCTCATTTCGACCGCTTGCATCCGCGATCTTGTTCTTTCGGTCATTACCCAAAGCTCATGACCATAGGTGAGGGAGGGAACGAAGATTGACTGGTAAATTGAGAGCTTCGCCTTTCGGCTCAGCTCCCTCTTTACCACAACGGTCCGATACAGCGAACGCATCACTGCACACGCTGCACCGATCCGCCTGTCAATCTCACGCTCCATTCTTCCCTCACTCGTGAACAAGACCCCGAGATACTTGAACTCCTCCACTTGAGGAAGGACCTCTCCACCCACCTGCAGAGGGCAAGGCACCTTTTTCCGGTCGAGCACCATGGCCTCAGATTTGGAGGTGCTGATTCTCATCCCAGCCGCTTCACACTCCGCTGAAAACCGCCCCAGTGCATGCTGCAGGTCCTGGCTCATTGGAGCCAACAGGACAACATCGTCCGCAAACAGCAGAGATGAAATCATGTGGTCCCCGAACCGGACCCCCTCCGATCCCTTGCTGCGCCTAGAAATTCTGTCCATAAACACAGTGAACAGAACCGGTGACAAAGGGCAGCCCTGGCGGAGGCCAACATGCACCGGGAACAGGTCTGACTTACTGCTGGCGATGCCAACACAGCTCTGGCTCCGGTCATACAGGGACCGGATGGCCCTCAGCAGAGGACCCCGGACCCCATACTCCTGGAGAACCCCCCAAAGGACACCCCGGGGAACACAGTCGAACGCCTTCTCCAAATCCACAAAGCACATGTGGACAGGTTGGGCGAACTCCCATGAACCCTCGAGTATCCGATGGAGAGTATAGAGCTGGTCCAGTGTTCCGCGACCGGGACGAAAACCACACTGCTCCTCCTGAATCCGAGATTCGACCATCGGCCATAGCCTTCTCTCCAGTACCTTGGAGTAGACCTTACCGGGGAGGCTGAGGAGTGTGATCCCACGATAATTGGAACACACCCTCCGGTCCCCCTTCTTGTAGAGAGGGACCACCACCCCGGTCTGCCACTCCATTGGCACCGCCCCCGATCGCCACACGATGTTGCAGAGATGTGTCAGCCAAGACAGTCCTACAACATCCAGACACTTTAGATAATCAGGACGGATCTCATCCACACCCGGAGCCTTGCCACCATGGAGGCTGCCAACCACCTTGGTGACCTCAGCCAGGTCTGACCGGCTTCTTCCCCTGCCAGCGGATCCAACTCACGACCAGGTGATGATCGGTTGACAACTCCGCCCCTCTCTTCACCCGAGTGTCCGAGACACGCGGTCGAAGGTCAAATGATACGACAACAAAGTCGATCATCGATCTCCGGCCAAGGGTGTTCTGGTGCCACGTGCACTGGTGGACACCCTTGTGCTCGAACATGGTGTTCGTGATGGACAAACTGTGACTAGCACAGAAGTCCAACAACTGAACATCGCTCGGGTTCAGATCAGGGGGGCCGTTCTTCCCGATCACCCCTCTCCAAGTGTCACTGGCATTTCCCACATGGGCGTTGAAGTCCCCCAGGAGAATAACGGAGTCCCCGGTTGGTGCACCGTCCAGTACACCCCCCAGGGACTCCAAGAAGGCCGGGTACTCTGCACTGCTGTTAGGCTGGTAGGCCGTCACAACAGTGAGAGACTTGTCCCCCACCCGGAGGCAGAGACGCGACCCTCTCATTCACCGGGGAAAACTCCAACACGTGGCGGCTGAGATGGGGGGCAATAAGAATGGCCACCTCAGCTTGCCGCCTCTCCCCGTGGGAAACACCAGAAAAGTGGAGCGTCCAACCCCTCTCAAGGAGTTGGGTTCCAGAGCCCAAGCTGTGTGTGGAGGTGAGGCCGACTATCTCTAGTCCCCACGAGCTCGGGCTCCTTCCCGCCCCGTGGGCTAAGGCCCGGCCACCAGACGCTCGCATTCGGTCCCCAACCCCAGGCCTGACTCCAGGGTGGGGCCCCGGCTGCACCATGCCGGGCGACGTCACTGTTATTGTTTTAGTGCGATCCATGGTGGTTTTTGGACCGCTCTTCGTCTGACTCGTCACCTGAGACCTGTCTGCCATGGGAGACCCTACCAGGGGCATGAAGCCCCAGACAGCATAGCTCCCAGGTTCATCCGAGTACTCAAACTCCCCCACCACGTTAAGGTGGCAGTCCAGGGGGGATTCTCAATACAATAAGATTCAAAACAATGTCATAATGATAAAATATAGGCCTTACAAAGGGGTTTGTTTTGATTATTTTTGATAAGTAAAAACATTCATGTCACTGGTTCCAGGCTCTAAAACAGTGTAATTCTGTCACTTTCCACATGTGCAGTACTGTGGTCTCTGTCACATTCTCAGACCAGCTTTTTCAGACTCTGAGTTTTAATAAGGTAAAGATGTGCTGTTGTCTGATTTGTTCACAATAACTTACTTTTAGACACAAAAGAAAAGTTAAGTCAAAAGCTCAGTTCTGGTTTAGATTACGGCTTTATTTCTAAAATTTGAGGGAAAGTGCATCATTTTTTGCAGATGTTTTAAAACATTGACAGAAACATGCATAACACGTGGCTCATTGTGCACATATTTTCCGGGCACCCGTCAACAAGTGTCGGTCTCACTCACAAAGAGAACTCTTGAGTGGCTCATATTTCTTTGAATACTGACTCTTTTTGGGCACTAAAAAAAACAAAATAGAGCTCAGACTCATTTTTCGCACAGACTGTATCTATCCGCTCTTTTGGTAACGTCAACCGCTGAGTGGAGACAAAAGGACCAATACTATTAAGAGAGAGTTTGTTCCTTGCTTTATTCAAACTACTGGTGCATATTGGTAAAACTCTCCATCCCTACGTGTCAAGGCCTGAGTTTATTGTATAGCACAGTTACAGCACAGACTTGCAATCATGGATGTGTGATGAAAGAGTGGACCAGGCTCACGTACCCGGAGCTTTGCCACGGTTTTCTCGTTGCAGCGAGTGTAGTTGGACCATGTGCGATTGGTTTCCGGGTGTCTGAACCACTGGCCGTCGTCTCCACACAGCTTAGTGGCCTTTTCTGAGACACACAACACATTTTCTTATTTGTATGTATTTAAAGCAACTTTTGGCCAAAATTTTCTGAAAAATGGCAAATGTACTCTAAATTCAAGTCATCTTTTTTGAACCAGTCAAGGCCATAGTAGGTAATACACAATAATCACATGCATTACGTGTGACTTGTTCTTATTGCAATGTTCTGACATTTTAAAACAGCCTTGTTGCGTATAGCTGCTGCTGGCATGACATCAAAACACACAAAGAAGACAGGCAGTTACCGATACCATTAAACCATTTTGAAACAGTTAATTATGCTTCAATGTTCATTGAAATATAGGTTTAATTTGATTCACCAGCCTCTAAATTCTCATTTGGGAAATGCACTGAACTGAAACTTTTAAACTCTTTCTAGTTACTGAGTTAATTAAACATTAATCTCCTCAGCATTAAACACATCCTTCAGAGCCACTAGGGCCTCTGTCAGAAGCAGTGTTTGCTTAGTCAGGACTATGTGTTTTTAGTGGTAGGGGAAACCGGAGCACCTGGAGGAAACTTACACAGACACAGGGAGAACATGCAAACTCCACTAAGAAAGGCCCTATTCCAATTTGAATCCAGGATCCAGCTAACCACTCAGCAAGCACTTTCCAACAATGAGTTAACAATTTTAGTATGGCCTCAAATGAAATGAACGAAATCATTCAAATTGATTCCCAAATTGATCGCTAACCCTTCAAACACTGCAACTCTAGCTGCATTGTCAAAACAGACGCTGAGTGGTTAGTACTTTCATTTTGTTCAAAACTGGGCCACTGGGCAAACTGCAAGGATGCCCAGTGGTTGGCCCCTGTACAATAAAGTCTATCTATAAATATCTATCTATCTGTACAGTAAAAACAATCATCCTCAGCCATTCTGTTCATTTTTGCAGTTTTTACACTTGTTGAAAAAGAAGTCAACAAATAAAACATTTGGTTGCCAAGGAAACCAGTGATGGGTTAATCAGCTAAACGTCAAAAGGAGACGGCCCTCGCACCTGTGGGGTCGAAGTCTTTGAAGTAGTTAGGGCAGTTCTGAGAGGTGAGCGTCCCGGCCGGAGTGTCGTCCCAGCACAGCCAGCCATCCCAGTTACGGCCGCAGTGCACATCTGGGACACACACACAAACACACAATCACAAACACACACGATTAAAGCAATATCTTATACAGAAGCAGAGACAGAGGCACACAACATCATGTTTAAAGTGGATTTTTCTGTTTCAGCTACAAAATATATTACATAAAAAATGTCAACAGGAGTATTTCAGACCAAATACCCCCCTTTACACAGGACCTAATCATAAACCACATCTTAAATTACAATTCTCTGACCAATTCATTCAAGTATGACTTCAGGATGTGAGTCGAGGTCCAGCTGGCTGTTGGAAATAAACTGTTCTTTGAGACGATTGTGGTCATGATTTTGAGCTGTACAAAGATGAACAGATTTGATTTGATACTTTTGAAACATGTTCTGTGATGGATTGCTCTTGTGTGAAAGAGGGATTGCGATGAGGGATTTGCTCAGATAAAGCCACAGTTTGTGAAGAATTGCAAAGTAAGCAGAGATCGTATGTATGCACAACTCATGAGCTCAATTTTACAATAATAAATAAATACATATACACTACCGTTCAAAAGTTTGGGGTCACCCAAGTGTTTTCCATGAAAAGTCACACTTATTCACCACCGTACGTTGTGAAATGAATAGAAAATAGAGTCAAGACATTGACAAGGTTAGAAATAATGATTTGTATTTGAAATAAGATTTGTTTTACATCCAACTTTGCTTTCGTCAAAGAATCCTCCATTTGCAGCAATTACAACATTGAACCAAAAACCAGACATTTGCAGCTAGAATAGTCATTTACCACATAAGTAATGTATGGAGTGTATTTCTTTACAGTTAAGACTAGTTTAAATTTATCTACAGTGCTTTTCCTTCAATAATAAGGACATTTCAATGTGACCCCAAACTTTTAAACGGTAGTGTATATTAATATTATTATTTGTTGAACAATGGAGACGCAAAGTGGAGGAAACTCGATGTGGCCCACGAGGCTGGAAGCAAAAACGTTGAATGTGTTGTGTAGTATAACTGCATTTTGAAACACAATATAAGATTTTTTTCTGACTCCTCAGCCTTCCTGCAACATGTGTGAAATGTGAGTTTTGAAGAATTCTTTGACCTGATGGTGGCTGGGGCCAATACCAGCACAACCCTTTCCAGTGTTGCAGACAATCCAAATGGAACACTGGAATTCTCGCACAGAAAAAATGTGAGTGGAGCTTGATTTCAGTAGATATGCTTCAACTCTCATCCAAACAAATTCCCATGTGGAAAAGATGCAGTCTTTTTCCTCATCTGCAGTTGACCTTAGAGCAGGGGTGTCAAACTCATATTGGTCCGGGGGCCAAATACAACCTAATTGGATCTCAAGGGGGCTGGACAAGAAAATTCTCAGCGTGAATACCCAAAAACAGTACAAAATCAAACTTTTTGTGCACATTAACACTTTTTTTTTTTAAACTTGATCTAAACCATCCTTTAATCTTACTAATACTCACTCAGTTTTAGCTGTAAATCTATCACTTAAATGTAACAGTGGGTTTTCATACTGCAAACAATGTATGTATTTACAATCTTACATTGGAAATGGCATTCCACAATATTTAGTCATTTAATTTAATTTCATTTTCTACCCCTTTATTAATCCATTTCTAGGTCAGGGGAGTGGCAATCAGAGCTGCCACCCAAGTCTCAATGCACCAGCCGAAGATGGCTTCTCTGTCACCGTCGAGATGGCCTTGGTCTTTCAGCGAGGAGCTTCGGGCAATGTGGGGTAAGTGTCTTGCCCAGGGATACAATGACAGCAGATATCAGTGGGAGCAGGTGACATGGGTCGTGGTGGGCTCGAACCCACGACCATTAGGTCCAACAAAGACCAGTGCTCAACTGAGCACAATATTTAGTCATGCTTTGTTTTTTAAGTGCATCAACATCAGGCACCATGTCCCAAGTGGTAGCCTCTTATGAATGTATGGTATATATGATATATATGATATATAATATATAATTAGGTTTGCCTGGATCGGTTTGCACACCTGGTGTGCAATCCATGAATCTTGGTGCTGTAGCCTAGGCTAGCCGTGGCTGCTGCTGTCTCACCTCCTTTCAGATACGCTCTCTTTATTCAAGGCTAGGTTTAAAACAGTCCTCTTTAGTTTAGCATATGGCTAGGAAGGTAACACTCAGGGAAGGCTAAACTCCTCAGACTGTCAGTCAAGCTGCATAGGGAGTCAGTTTGCTGGGAGAAGTATGGTAACTTGAGCACTATCCTCTCCTTCTTCCTACTTTATCTGTTTAGCATTATTAGGATTTTGACTGTAGTTTGTTCATTGCTATTCACCCGTTGTCCCATTGTATGTTTCATGGTACGATGACGGGATCTCTGAGCCTGGCCTGTTCCATCTACACCTGCGGACTGCCCCGCCCGACCCGCCTGGGAGTGCTTCAGTCCTGCACCGGACCTGTCCACGTTCAGCGGCCACGGGTCCACGTTCTGTAGCTATCTTAGGTCCTAGATCATTAGCCTGTCCGTCTGGAGGAGCGGATCCCTTTCTCAAATGGGTCTCCCTCCCTGTGGGTTTCCCTAGTTCTCCCCAAGGTTTCTCACTTTTTCCCACTGGGTTTTTTAAGAGTTTTTCCTTGTCGATGCAGGAGGGTCTTGTAGGACAGTTAGTGTCCAACAGAAAGGATTGGTGATGATCAGGACACTTTAGCATTCTACAACATGTATGGACATTTTCTTCTGTGTGTGCTTTATATTTTTCATTTGTTTTAACTGTTGATTCTCTGATCTGTGTTGGTGATTTCAATGGTTTTGTTAAGTCCTCTGAGATGACTTCTGTTGTGACCTAGGGCTATACGAGAATAACTTGTATTGTATTGTATTGTATTGTATTGTAATGTCATTTTAGAGCTTGTGTGCCGTTTTGTTTTATTACGGCTCATTACAGAGAAAACTCCCTCCATCTGCACTTGTGGACTGCCCTGCCCAACTCGCCTTGTGGGCTGCACACAGGTGGGGAGGGGGAGCACTGCTCCTATCCTTGTTCTACAACCGCTGCATGGCCTTGGTCCTCGTTCTGTAGCTTCGGACCTGGATCTACAGCCCGCCCGTCCATGGGAGTGGATCCCTCTCTCAATGTGGATCTCCCCGAGGTTTCTCACTTTTTCCCACTGGGTTTTTGTTTTGTTGCTCCTTGCCGATGCAGGAGGGTCTGTTGGACAGTTAGTGTTTAACAAGAAGGACTGTGGTGATGATCCAGGACATTCATGGACATTGGTCTCTCCCTATGGACCAATAACTGTGTTCTACATTTTTTTGTGTTTTAACTGTTTGACTCTCTGATCCGTGTTGGCAATTTCAACGGTTTTGTTAAGTCATTTGAGATAACTATTGCTGTGATTTAGGGCTATACAAGAATAAATTGAATTGAATTGAAAACTTGCTCACAAAGATACAGTTGGTAGCTTAACCATGTTACTGCAGTGTGGTAAGGTCCATGGTTGTGTTAATGTCACTAGGAAATCATCAAACTGTCCGTGATTCAGTCTGACTCTGTTGAAATGAACAAATCAACTTCCATCCTGTGGTCCATTTTAAACAACTTGCAGCACAGTGTCTCTCTTGTGCAAAATACAGTGAAATGTCAAAAAATCATCACCTCCATTTGCAGCTTGAAATTTGTCACAACACCTGTCTTTACTGTTGGTACCAGGCTGGCAGCAGCAGCACCAGCACTGAAATAGTTCTCAGCTGTGAATTTTATAGTTGTCTATGGTATCCAACTATAAAATCTCCTCTGTGATAGTCAAAGATGCATCAACGCCACAATTGAATATGCAACATCAGTAACAACAGTGCTCTCATCAATAGCAAGAAAAAACGCCACCAACGACTTCAATCTGTAGCTAGTTCTGAAATACTTTCTGCTGCACGATTCCTGGACAGGCTGACGTTTGTAAAATCACGTTGTTTTCTGCAGGACACACCATTTCTGCAGCCTGTATGCAAGTTTTGACAAACTCGCCCTCACTGTGCAGCTTTGATGAAAATGCTATGTTGTTAGCACTCAGATAGCTTGCCTTTACAGCGGCATCACTAACCTCTCGCTCTGGGCACAAACAGACGGCTGTTCTTCTCAATTCTCCACTCCACTTCAGCATTTAAGATTCTATTCCTTCACCACCGCCACTTGTTGCATGCACACAGATGCTCAACAAGCATCGGTGTTTCATTCACCTCCATGAACAAATAAGAAATAGTCCACTTTTCTTGACACGACACTCAATGTCCACTTTTCGCCTTTTTGACAGAGACATTCTGCTGAGGGTGTCGCTGTCAGTCACAGAATAAAGCACACTCTGGTGGGAGCCACTACAGAGGCACTCGACTCGCTGCTGAGTTAAGCGTTGCGCCGCAGCAGAGCGGATTATTTTATTATTATTATTATTATTGTTTTACATAAATGAGCTGTGGGCCGTATCAAATCTCTTGGCGGGCCGGATCCGGCCCCTGTGCCTGCTTAGTCCATCTGCAGTCTGCTGTATTTGGAATTCTTCCACACTGAAGAAATTTGCTGATAGCTTGTTGAGTTGAAATCTAAATTTGTACCGCATTTTCAGAAAGGTGAAGCTATTTTAGTTAAAATTATAACAAGTGTGTGCTTGATAAACAAAAATATTTACGGAAGAAAAAAAGGGGGGAATATATATCCGATAGTATCTTTGTGTAATCTTAATTTGTTTTGCATCTGCGGATTTTTGTTATTTAACTTATTTAACTACAATATGGAAGGTACTTTGAGCAAATTATTATTATATTCAATCTGGAGTAAGTAAGTAAGTAATCTTTATTTATATAGCGCCTTTCACACACCAGAGTCACAAAGCGCTTTACAATTGTGGGCATTTGTCCCTCACTCCACACAGAGAGTGGATTTCTTCCATTCTTGCTTGGATTGAACCAAAAATTGACAGTTTTGACAGTGCTCCTCAACTCTCAGTCATTCACCAGACTGCCAAGGAAAGAATACTTTAGTTTGATATATGACCGGATCTCTCCAAACGTCCCAGCATCAAAAGCTTGAGAAATGCCAAGGGCTCAGAGAGGAGCAGATCAGGGCCTGGAAGGTAAAAGTGGCAGAAGTGACCGTCGTGATACTGTTATTGTCCTGTATGCACTCTGCAACATTAACATGTCCCCACTGTTAAGGTTCCCTTATCTTATCTTAAGATCAGGATGAACATTGAACTGAACCATATCATTTGTTTTAGTTGATGTGTCTTAACCTCTTAACATCCACCCGCCCTCCGAAGGGCAATGGGAAGGAAGCAGGTATATTGTGATGTGAATGTTTCCCACAGACACAGACTCCAACCACTTGCTCATGGTACTTCATGGTCCCGCTCAGGGAGTTTCTGTTTCTGCCCAGACCCATGAAAAATTAGAAGAAACATTAGACGGAGACGTTGAGCCCCTGTCCCTGTGCCCCCTCCTCATGCATATCTTACCACTGGAGTTTAAAGCCGGCTCGCGGTACATCTTCTCGAAGCACTTGTATTGGTTGTCCAGGATCTTCCTCCGCACCAGGATCTCCTCCTCAGACTGGGCGCTGGGGGCCAAGGAGGCCTGGGTGTCGTCTATGTCCACATAGAGCTGAGCTGCCGTCTGCGGAAACGCACAGAGGAAACATTGGCTCTTCATGAATGTGGTAACGCAGACTCCCTGATCCCCTATCATCTGCAAAATAGTTCAGGGCATTATGTTTGTGGTTGTGTTTATTACATTACTGTACAAACATGTTTGAAATGTCTTGCATTTGGATCATACATACATTATGTTTGTCCCATTATGGCCTTATCAAAGTTGGACAATTGCAATGGGAATTTATGGAAATATATTGGTATCAGTGGTAACACACAGGGGATTCTAAAGGAGGTTGGTACCAATGATATACAGATACATTAATGACAAGTCAGCAGGGCAGCAAGCACTTTTCATTGTACTCAAAGTCTGCAGTCACAGCACAGTGTCACTGTGTGAGCCAGGGCAGTTTAACTGCTATGATGCAATTTTCACATTGTAATTGTACACTTAAATGTTAAAACGTTACCAATTGTCTGATTTAGGAAATGTTTAGCAATAAAAGCTGACTAATTAATCAGAGATAATAATCAAGCCACAAGGAGCACAACATCTTTAAAATATCTGTAAAATGTAATAATCAGTTTGGAATCTGAAGTCTGCAGTGTAGAGGGTAGAGAGGAACGGTGCAAGGACAGCCCCCTGGAGGGCACAGACTACAGGTCAGGACCCGAGACACCAGTCCCTGTCTGTGAGGTTGTCCACTCAGCCAGGTCAGAGTCCACTTCAGCCGTCTCCAGCTTGTCCTGAGAAGCCTCGGCCGGATGGTGTTGAATGTGCGGAGAAATTGAGTGCTGCATTGCTGAGTTTATTGTGGGGCAGTAATGAGATGGTATGTCAAAGCCACCAGTCTGATGCTTGGGCATGACCCAGTCTTTTGTCCCCGCCCTTTGCTCAGCAGTTGGCGTTGGCGAAAGAGCAGAGACTTGCAGTCTCGTGACAGATGGGAGTATAAGCTCTGTTTTGATCTTTACAGCATCCAAAAAGAGTCAATATTCACTGAAATGAGCTGCCTAAGTCCGATGCCTGAGTCCGGTTTGTGAGTGAGGAAGACACCTGTCAATGAGTGCACCAAAAATATATGCGTGAAGAGTTAAGAGCCAAGAATGATGTACTTCCATCAAGTTTAATAAATTAAGCTGTAAGGTGCAATGAACCAGTTCTGAGCTACTGTAGGACAGTACTGAGTTTGTAGGAGACAAGGATGGCAAAATGTGCCCAACCAAAAGTAACTTCAAAGTAATGTAGAAGTAGTGTAATGTGTCACAATTCACAGACAGTAATATTGTAGTGTAACACATGACTTTCATCAGCTCCTCACAGAAGCAGTAGAACACTTCATTTGTTTGAATTTAATTTAGATATGTTCTGGGTCATTATTTCTTGATAACGGACCTCTCAAACCAATGATGACCGCTGCTGCAATATGAGCATGTACAGTAATTCAGGTGTGTAAAGATCACTCTGTGGGGCCTGTCACTACTTCTGTCTCTGCGAGAGACGCGTGGCTATAGCTCCGCTCAATAAACACAAAAAACAATCAATCAACACATTTAGATATTCATCGAATATACATTATAAATCTATATCCTTAACACACATGCACGGAGGTTTTCAGAATAATCTGTTAACGTTTTCATGACAAAAATATTGTTTTAAAGCGATAGCTGAAAACCCATTAACATTAATAGCATTTTAACATTTTAGGACAGGACATTTGCAGAGGATCTGATTATCCATTTAGGTTTAGTATTTAGTATTTGGACGCCTCCCTAGGGAGGTGTTCCGGGCACGTCCCACCGGGAGGAGACCCCGGGGAAGACCCAGGACACGCTGGAGGGACCATGTCTCTCAGCTGGCCTGGGAACGCTTTGGGGTCCCCCCGGACGAGCTGGAGGAAGTGTGTGTGGATAGGGAAGTCTGGGCGTCCCTGCTTAGACTGCTGCCCCGCGACCCGGCAACGGATGAAGCGGAAGAAAATGGATGGATGGATGGTTTAGTATTTCTATGGATCACTCACCACTCAGAATTTGTTGTACAGTTGTCATGTAGCTTGAGAGAGTTCTAGTTTTGAAGTATAGCCTAACTGTTACTTGCATAGCCATGGCACGGCCAAACCTTTGGGATCTATTTCAAGTTTGTTTTTTGTGTTTAGTTGGCACAAAGCCGTAAAATAAGCGGGATAATGTGTAGGACGCAAGTCATTATCGGAAAATAATAAATAGCACCAACGGAGCGAACCATGTCTACAGTACGTCCGCGTCCGCCCTGAAGGACCTGCGTCTTATATATTATACTTTACATACCGGTAAGTAATGCATAATGTATTACGTTTTTGGAGTAACTTTCCATCACTCCAAAGAGTTGGATCTTGGAGCTAATCCCATCCGGATCAGCCGCTTTCCTTGTTTTTCCTTTGCTCTAAAGCCATATTTTTGCTTACCTAACTTTGTAGTCCCCCCTCCCAACTTGAGTTTTCTAGAACCAGGCCAAGTATGAGTAGCCTGACTCTCGCCAGACCCTGTAGTTCCCCCACCAGAGGCGTTTGGCTGAACCACATGGGTCTGGTATCGAGGTCTGGTGTCGGGTTTGCACCGCCTTCTCAAGCTTGTCTCACGCACCAGCGAAAGCAATCAAAAAACATTTAAGTTTAAATACAAACAAATTAAGACACGGGTGTCACTTTTAATGCAATATGAGGCGAGATGTTGATGGTTCCATGTTGTTATATGTGCGTTTTAAGAGTCAAATGTTTGTGTAAAGTTTGGTTTAAGTACTGGTTTAAGTGTTCCTGTTTACAACACTATGCAGCAGGGTTGCCAGTTTGGGTGGTTTCCCTCATACTTTTCTTCAAGAGACTTGTAGGTAATAAATAAATAGAAAGACAATAAACAAAATAATGACAGCCCAAGTTTATTACATCACAAATTTAGCCCACAAATAATTCTGGGTGGGTTTTTTTGTGGATTCTCGCAGGTTTTGGGCTGGAAAATCTTGTGTGCTTGGATGTGAGTGGTTGCAGGAAGACGTCATTCAAGATAACGCAAAAGAGGTTTATCCAATCACATACAAGGATTTTTTTAGAAGGCCCCGCCTTCTGAAATCCAACTGCTATGGAGGAGGTCCAGACGCATGTGTGAAGTGCAGCGAACTACAAGGGTCTGGCGAGAGTCAGGCTAAAGTATGAGTGGAGTTCAGGTGAATCTTACCCTGGGGTTGGTGGCACACACACTACTGTTGGCTCCAGAGCTGTTTGTGCTCTGCCACTGTCCTTCCTCAGAGCAGAAGCGACTCACCGTCTCTGAGGACAGACAAATATGTTAGGGACAAAAATGAGACAACACCAAAGAATCTGTGGTCCAATCTAACTCTGTATTTAAAGAGCTTCTACTCAACTTTTTCATTTAATAATCATAGAAAATTATCCATCTTATTCCTCACTTCCTCATAGATTCCTAACATACCTGTGGGCTCTCCGCTCCAGTCAGAAACGGGGCACTTCTGAAAGAACACGGCCCCTGCTGGAGTGGGCTCCCAGCACAGGAAGCCATCCCACTCTGCACTGCAGTACCTCCCTGCAACACATGTTTGGAAGTGACAGTCTGCATGCATCTTATATGTTTTACCGTGAATTATTCAAGGCATGGACCGTTGCTATACCAATTTAGTGTCAGGAATTTGGTAGAGAAGCCCGCTGTAGTTCAGCTAATATTTTAGACAATGTATCTTGATAATTAGTGTAAAATTCTAATTATAATATTATTATTCCATTTAACAGAATTTGTCATATTTACTTCTTTTTTTTAACCATTATAGCCTCATTTGTTGGTTACTCCCCCTCCCCCCGATGTATACCATCTTGGGTCTTGATATATAGATTGATTTGTTTTGATATAAGATCTAACATAACGGTTTAGGAGTTAGCTGTAAGATCCATCCATCCATCCATCCATCCATTTTCTACCCTTTAATCCATTTCTGGGTCAGGGGGGTGGCAGTCAGAGATGCCACCCAAGTCTCATAGCACCAGCCCCTCACTGACCCTCTGCAGGTGGTGAGTCCACAGGAGGACGGCTGCTCTCTGAGTGTGAGCATAGCCTTGATCTTTCAGTGGGGGCTTTGGGCAAAGTGGGGTTAAGTGTCTTGCCCAAGGACACAACGACAGCAGTCATCAGTGGGAGTTGATGGAGAAGGTGCAGAGGTGGGAATTGAACCCACGACCTTCTGGCCTTAAGGCCAATGCTCTACCAACTGAGCTACTGTCGCCCCCTGTAGCTGTAAGATATTATAGAAAACATCTTTTTGTATATCAACATTAACATTTTATTCTGATTATATACATATCAGTAGAGACGGCCTTTCCTGCCCTGATGATCAGACACTATAGTATACCTAAAACTGTCCCTTTATGATACCTATCAGGAGAAAAACATATAATTTATAGAATTATGCAAATTAGGTAGGAACCCCTCAGATTAAGGATGCAGTCGTGACAAGTTCAGTTCCTGACCTGCTCCTTGAGGTAAGTCCTCGGCCATCTTGTCCTGACATCTTCTCTGGCTCTCTATCAGATGTTTCTTCAAGAGGACATCCTCCTCTGTAGAGCTGTCGTCTGTGGACACCTCCATGACCTCAGAGGCTCCCTGCACAAAGAAACCCCTCGGTTGAACACTGACCACGGCAATGACTGAATGATGACATGTGCTCACTCATGAAGTCCACCTCTGAGGGACTGAGCTTGGCGCAAAACATTGGTCTAAAAAAGTTTATTATGGCGTCACATCAGTCCACGAGAGAGACTGATTCACAGAGACGGAAAATACAAACATAATTTTCCATCATGTTGTAGATGTTGTAGATGGCAGAATAAAATAATGTTAACATAATGTCCACATTCAGGAGTGCAGAGTCATTTCTAACGGAGTGCAAACATTAACAGTTAATTTTGCAGCTAATGTTAGCATCATCATCTCTGGTCCCTTCAGTTATACTAACTGTGATTCTCCTTGGTATTGCTAGATGATATACATGAATAAAGATATATTCAGGATAAACGTAGAAATGCACTGGTGAACCTCGGTGCTGAGTACAAGCTTCTGACCCCAGATCTCCAGTTGTTTTTCCCGACGTGTTCAGCATTCATACGCATATATTTTAACTTGTAAAAACATTTTCACAAGTCTCCACCCTCATTGTGAATATGTTTTCTGGCGAATAGATAGGGGTGACTTTTTGATAGTTTGTTTAAATGTCTCTCAACGTGCAACGGACACTGCTTTGGTTACACCACAGGAGGCTCATGTGATGAAAGCCAGCGAGAGGTATTCATTCATTATGTGGGGAGCACATATTTTAGTTGCAGTTGTGTTCAAATACTTAAAGCTATATATTACCAGACATACACATACTTTAATAGAGATTTTGACCTCAACAACAACCCACACCATTGAAAATTATGTTACAAAAAATTCAACTGCTGAATCCCTTTTGGTTTAACACCATGATCACTGAAGAATCAGTGAGAATTAGTGATGTCACAAAACTAAAATACTCTCCTTAATGACACGTGAAAAATGAAGTAGATGCATTCCAAGCCCATTCGTTAGGGATTATTGCTGATTGGTTGTGGGACAGAGGGAAATGAGAGAGAAGGGAGAGGAGTCAAGTGTGTGACAGTGATATGACATCATTTAGGATTAACCATGAATAGATAGATACTCCAAATGATAAGCATGCAATTACTGAAAATATATACACATATGCTCAGCTGTTCCATGACAAGATGTGTGTTATTCCCTCATTATCTCCTGTCTAAGATGCAAGGTCAATTGTGCTACTTACAGTCAACGCAAAACATGAAATTCAAAGACCTGTCACCACACCATCAACAGGCTCAAAAATCAAAACAGAGATTGCACCATTGCACTGGAGGCCTGCCTCAGAATCACCAGGGATAGAATTCACACGTCTATGCCTTCTGCACACCAATTGACTGTGATAAAAAGTGAATGTTTTATGCTTCATAATTGGTTTAATTAATTCCCATTACTTTTAGACTTCTAACAATGGGATCCACGCACACACACACACCCTTAATCTTCCAATTATTGTAGAGTGTTTGAGAAAAAATCAGTTAAATGTCTTTATTTTGAAAAAATAATCACACACCACAAAAGCAGCAGCAACAACATCAGGACAGCACAGACATAACACACGGTCAAACAGTCTCCTGCACGGCTCTGGTCCTCCGTTCTCTGGGTTCAGGGGAATAAAGGGATGATAAATAAATATCAAATATTTTACGGTCCAGGCTAGTCCCTCGCATCTCATCATTATTGCATCATCTGTGCACACAACTCCTCCAAGGCTCGGTTCTGTCCTGCTTAGGCCTGGCCTGGTTCTGAAGTGGAAAAGCGATCTCGTAATGCAAGCAAAGCAGGGAGAGCCGTAGCCTGTGGTTCAGCTGCTACAATAGTCTTTTAAGGCATTTATATATAGAACACTTTATTTTTAATTCTTGTATAGATCCATTCCTGCTAATTTCAGTTGGAAAAAACTACATATTTTAGGCAGTATTCCATGAGTGTCTGCCAAAATAATCATAAATATTCATGAATATAATGGCTGTCTTATTCAAATGACACTGGTTGCCTCATTTATCATCAACTGTTTCTGCGAGGGTTTGGACCTGTTTCAGTCCTAATTTAGACCAGGTACTATTCTGATTTAGTCCTGCTTTAGACCTGACCCAGTCATGATTTGGGCCTAGTATAGTCAATGGTCCAGAAGCCAAAAGCATCCCTAGACTTTGAATGTAAAGCGGATGTTGTTGATTCAGTGTGGAAACTGTAACATAAACACAGGCGTGACGACAAATAGTTTTTTGTGTGCATTTGTATATTTGATATAAATGCACAAATTGTTAAATGGAAGGTTGTGAGTGTTTAGAGGAAGGCCTAATGAAGCCTCGCCCTACATAAATTACATGAGCACTAGTGCCACCATTTGCATCCTGAAGCAGGCCAGGCTAAGCGTCAGTGTTTTAAATTACAGCCATGAGAAAATAAAGGCTTGTTAATGCTCTAAACAATTGACCACGAGTGCCTTTGATTTTTTTCACTTTCAAAGCTCTTCATAACTTTCCTTTACCTAGAAAGTCAACACTCCACTTTTTGTTACTAAATCGGAAGCACATGATGAGCTACATGGGAACATGTGTGTTTAAATGTCCAATGATGGGTAATAATTGTCTTCTAAAGGAGCTGCAGATACATGTGTGTGCGTCCTCTGGGGTGGCCCCCGCCCCGCTGAGGTCTCGTGTCAAACAAACACACACATTATCACCTCATGCTTAGGCAAGGCTCATTCATAAGTCACTTTGCATGTTCTTCCATCAACAAAACCCCAAATGGAGGCATGGATGTGGGGTGTGCGCTCTGTGCAAAGGATGCTTTCTTTTTATTGTGTGTGTGTGTGTGTGTGTGTGTGTGTGTGTGTGTGTGTGTGTGTGTGTGTGTGTGTGTGTGTGTGTGTGTGTGTGTGTGTGTGTGTGTGCGTGCGTGCGTGCGTGTGTGTGTGTGTGAGCCTTTTTAAAGCTTTTATCACCTATAATTTAGCCTTGAGCATTTCTAAAATAAAATGTCTTTCTATACTACTCCATGTCTGAACATATTTTAAGTAGTGGGACAGTTGGAATACCCTGGAAAAATGCAACTCTTTTTTTCTGAAAAAGTAATTTTGTTCTTGTCTTTAGGCCACGGGCTGGCAAAGAAATAGCTATATTGATCCATTTAGTAAATGTCTCTACTGGCAGTCCTTATACAGGTGAAACTCAAAGTCCATACTTTGAGTCACATCAAAAAATGTGAAACTAATATATGACAAACTCATTACACACAAAGTGAGATATATCAGTTTTGTTACATAGATGATAATTGGCCCCCCACATAAAACATCTGAAAGCCATATACCAAATATGAGTATCATGTTGTGGTTTAACATATTCATCTTTAGAATTTCTGAGTTTCACTTGTCTGTCAAGCCCTGTGCAAATATTGTGGATACCTGTGTTTGGACCAGAGGGTCCAGAGGTTCCGGAGGGTCCATAGGGGCTGGGAGTTCCAGAGGGTCCTGGGAGACACAGGGGGAGGATATATCCGCCCACTGTCCTCGCTCGTCACACCAGCGCCGCGGCACATCTGGAAACAACAACCCAAAGACATGTCATGTCCCTGCAGGCGATAACAGTCCTGTGATCTCACATGGCTCCACTGTCTGCCCAAGTCATAAGAGTCTACATTAAAATACAATTGTTTATTAGTTTGCTAAATTTGTATTTATTTTTTTAAACAAAGAGAGCAATTTCAATAAAGTAGTTTGACCCCTTGAATAGAATACGTTTCATCAATGAATTCTAGTGCAATCTGGTGCAGCCGTCTCCTTAGCAGTTCACTTCTTTGGAAACAGGTCCATGTGGTTACAAACACGGTCCACCAGACAAGTGAACGCATCATAAAGTAATAATCATTACTTCAAGACAACAAGTAAACCAAAACATATAATGTAAATATACTATAATTAGCCTATTGACTTTCCATCCGTAAACCCCGGCAGAGGATAAGCAATCTAGAAAAAACTTTAATAATTGTAATAAAGACAACGACCCATTATCGGCGAGTGTTCACAGACACCGTAGGGTGAGGATGCAATTACATGATCGTGTTTGTGTACTTTTACCTGTTTGTGTATAACTGAGTAGCTATCCTTGAGCTGGGTTCTGATTGGCTGCTGCAAAGGTAATCTTGATGAAAAAAGTGGCTCTATGCTTTTGTTAGCAGACAAACATTCACGCTTTTGAATACTGATGATGAGACAGCCTTTGCTATGCCATAATCAAACAGCTCAGAGTTAAGCAGCAGGTTGGATCATTGGCACAATGGGAGACAGAAATAAATAGAAAGGGAAATGTAGTGGTGTTAAGCACCGCAGGGAAGAGAATGTTTCAAATCCAGGACTTCATTTTTATCTTCATTAACCTTTTCTTCTCCAGTATGTTTCAATTTGTAGACATGCATTCCCATAACAATAGGATGTTGGGGGTAATTGACAGCATTGGCATTTGGTGGACACAGTAATCATGATGGAAAGTGGGCTATGTTTACGAGATGTCAAACCAGCGCGCTTTTATTTCAGTGTGTTTGCTTCGGCAGAGTCCCGAAGGCTTACCGCCACACAGCACATCCGTGACCAATATGATCAGAGACAGAGACAGGGGGACTGGAAATAAGCCTTCAAATGCACTCCATACAGCCCTTAGTCCTCACTGTGTATTTGTTAAAGGGGACATGTGCTAAATTTTTCTTTTGAGTTTTTTACATTTTCTACAAGGGAAATTATAGCCTGGCCTTAGCCATCCGTACACTCAGTTCAATCATCATTTCACTGCATGTAACGTCTGGGTCTAGTCCCTGTGTTAGCGATTACAATCGGTTGAATTTCGACCGACCGTTTAAAGAGCGCGGAAGGCAGGTGTTGTAGTTAGTTGTGGGTGATGTCAAGAGTTTGCGCCGAACGGGCAGGTTGTAGTTTGGTAATGGCGAAAAATGCGATAGTAAAGTAATCCGGTCTGGTTCTGTCAAGAAATTGAAGCCGGAGCAAGGGTAATGTTTAGCAAATTCAATTGCTGGAAAAAAATGTAGCGCTACTCCCCACGGGCTCGGTTAGTGGCAAAGGAGATGGCTAGGCGAAATGCTAAATGCTAACGACAGACTTGGGCGCACTACATACGTCACGGTAAACTCAGATCCAATCGTTTCAATCTGCAAAAGGAGTTAACCCCTCCCACTTGTAAACGGAGCTCAATGGAGCACCTCCAGACCATAGTACAAAATGTAATTTGTACTATGGTGTGGTACGACCAGCCGGACCAGGCTAGGGAAATTACTGAGTAGCTCACACACAATATTATAAAATATGAGTAAAACAATTAACAAGTGTCCGGACAGGACAGGACGACATGGGCCCGACCTACAGTACTGTGGACTCACCCCTACAGAAGTAAGTCCACTGAGCAGAGAGCAGCACAGAGATGGCTTTGTGACTTGCCCTCAGATATAATTACCACTACAAGTGCAACAAAGTCAATGAAATTACAATGAAAATTGGGAATGACGATTTAAGATTGTATTTGAGGCAGGCCGGCATCATACGCTGAAGATCCTGGGAGAAGACCCAGGGAGACGAAACTGAGGCCACAAGACATGATTTCCAGCTGATTATGTTCTCACCTTTTACAGAAGAGCCCTTCTTTTGCAAAAGGACATTGATTACTGCTTGTACAGGGACTGTGTTTTGTTGTTGTGCGCTTTGGCAAACCCAGACATACAAAAACCAGTGGCTTAAATGCATCAGTCTGTGGGTCATGTGGACCTGAACTCAATATGAACCTTTTTTACGAGAACCGGAAGTGCCGCCTCGTCGCGCTGGAGCACTTCCTGTTTGCTCCGGTTCTATGGAGAAATGGCTCTAATATTTCCGCCAATTTTAGTCAGTTTGCCAGCTTTTTCATTCGCTGCAGCTGAAGCAATCGCAGGGGTGAATTTGTGGACAGATAAACAAGAGAAGGGGTTCTGCAATGAAGATTATATAAATAAGTATCAAGGTTAAGACATAACTTAGCAACTAACAGCTAAGTTAGCATTTGCTACAACGCATGAAGCCCATACACATGCAATAAAGGCCTAAAATGTGAGCTAAGTTATTCAAAATATGTATTAGAGACATGGTATAGACTTTCATATTATATTAGAACATGATGTGTTTGTCTATTTGTGAAAACAAACTTGCCTATTGTTCAGCTTGAGTTGTTGTGTCGCTGACAGATGTAGAACGTTCACATGGAGCTCATACTAGCAAGTTTTCACTTCTGCTGACTCAATAAGATAGTTTAGTTATAACAAGTATTAACTATATGTCTGTTCCAAAACGAATTCTCTGTTTTTGATCTCATTGGGTGTTGAAAATAGTTTAGACTTATTTCTGTAGTTGTGCAGCAGGTAAAGGTTTCAGACGGAACACTACTCCCAGCCCTGGCCTGTACCAGTTATCTGCAAAGATGTATCTGTTTATGTCAATGCAATAAAATAAATATCAACTGATCTACAAATCCCATTTTGTTCCTTTAATTTTCAAACTTTCAACCTGTGTGTATAATTGTATATATGTGTTTAAAAAAATGTGAGGTGTAAGTTGTTCTGCAAAACTGCATAATTGTGCTTATCTTAAATGGACTTAAATTGTTTTGTAAAATTCTGTCATTTTCCAGTCTTGTTTTGTTACACATGTAATTCTCAATCATTTCATAATTCATATTTAAATTGCAACATAATCCACTATTCATTTGGTGTTTACTTTACTTGTTTTTCCTTGCAACGCAATCAAGACACAATAATAAAAAATAATAAAAAACATTCTGCTCAGGTGTGTTTTAATTTGGAAATAAAAATATCACAAACATGTACACCGGAACAAACCCAAGATTTACATACATGATGAATTTAGTCTTCAACACAAAATGGGCCGTGATAATTTGCCAAAACACAAAAAGCTGTGGTTTCTGCACACTTTGGAGGCAGATTCTCTCTTAGATGGAGCAATAACATTATTCCAGGGAAAAGAGATGGAACAGCTCTTTTAAGGCGGCTGGTGATAAAATCCTCCTGTATACAGTAATGCTGCATACAAAAGTGTTCGCTCGTTTTATTGAGAACTGGGTACCCTCATCTCTTCTAACTGCTTTGATCCACTGCCTTTTTTAGTCCAGGTCCGTCGGGAAAGCATGGTTGTTTTCCCGACAGATGTTGTTTTCTTGCCCCACAAGAGCAACCAGGAACAGAGCAAATACAACCGCGGTGAGATGGTGAGTTTGAGCCTTACTGACGCCGTTTGTGAATGGAAAAGCAGAGCCACCGGTAATGCCTTTGCAGCCCTTCCGGTTTTAAAACACGGAAATGTGAAAACGGTCCATTGTTCTTCCTTGTGAAATTTATTATACTGTATACCCAGAAAAGTGTTAAAAGTATGAAATCTTGAACCTATGAGAAAGAAATGGAATATCTGTACAATCACCAGGATGAGGCAGCAGATTACCATTATGGTTTAGTCCCAATGTCTCGCAGTTTGGCGGATACTTATTTCACAGTTGGAAAGCCACATCAGTTTAGGGGTTGTAACTCAAATGTCTCCCTTTTGTGAGATGGTAGATGTTTTTAAGAACTGCCTTTTGAGACAGTCTCAAAATCACTCTAACTCCGCCAACAATTGAGTCTAGTCGAGCGTCCAGACTTGGACACTTTCAGGCTGAGGAAAAATTGTAGTGTATTTTGAGAACGAGAGAAGGTGAGTGCTGAAAGGTTATTAGAGTCCTCTGCAGTAGAGTTGCAAATCAGCTGCTCTTCAAGGATCCACCGTTAGAACTTGTTTTTGGAAAACAAGAAGGGAAGTCTAATGCCCTCTGATGAAGTAAAAATCGGGACAAACCAGATTGTTCTTCAGTCCTGGAGTAGCCTGGCCTTAGCCATCCATAAACTTTCCCACATGTACGTCTGGGTCTGATCCTGTTTTTCTCTTTCCACCAGTCTCTTCATCTTCTTCAACTCTGAGCACAGAACTTGTATCCCATCCGACCATTCAGCGAGCGGGGGAGGCGAGTGTTGTAGATAGGTGTCACTGTCAAATTTGCTGGTTTTAGTTTGGAAATGGCGGCGATTGTGATAGTAAAGTAATCCCATCTAGTTCATCTCCCAATTATAAAGAAATTGAAACTGGAGCAAGAGGAATGTTTGGCTTCAGAACTTCATTGCTGGCAAAGATGTTGTGGCTCTACTCTCTACGAGCTCTGTTAGTGGCAAAGGAGATGCTAAAGCTACGCAAAATGCCCCATCCACTCACGGCAAACTTAGATCCAAATGTTTCAACCTGAAAAAGTTGTAAACCCCTCCCACCTGTTAACAGAGCTTAATTGAGAAAATCAGACCTTAGTTTGAAATTAAATTTGTATGGTGGTATGGTAAAACCAGGCTAGTCCTGGAGGTGCTTTGTTAAGAGCACTTTAATCAAATTCATCCGAAAATCTTAAACTTCCATATTTACAACATGGCCTCCAGCAGAGCCGTCAGACCTCAAGGAAACGCTAGGATTT